TGCAATAGATATTATTGATGCAAACTCAAGAATTCAAGGTGAAAGGCATCTTTTTACTTTGTAGAAATCATGACACATATTATACAGAGAAAACAAGGTAAAAATTGAGTAGAACTAATTTTTTAAAAAAGGAGGTATAACAAGATTCTTTGGAAAATAGATATTTTCTCTCTTTCTACTAGAAATAGCAAAAATCATTCCACATTGTTTTCTTTTCTTTCCCAATTGCATGTTTAATTAGCATACATTCCAACAGTGTGCATGAAAAACATTATAAGCCAGATGTACTTATTTCTTTGTAAGTGTTTTGGCTAATTCAGTGGCCAAGAAAATATGTTTAGTCTCTGATTGGACGGAGTCAAGAAACAAAACAGATAAAATTACTGAGGCTTAAGCTAATATGGCCTAGCAAAAATCTGTCAGTACCTCAGCTATAAGTCTCCCTTCTCCCAAAAAGGATAAAAAAGTTCTTCTTGAGTATACACGATTCCAGTGAACTTCCAAAAGCTCAGCTTCAGGTGAGCTAGGAGTAGAGTGAGCCATCTGTAAATCCTGGAGTAGTCCAAATAATACAGATAACTTCAGCAAGAACTGGAAACAGCTGGCCCCAATCTTCAGTGACAAAGAAGAAAAAGTCCAAGCTTCTAAAACACATAATGACAAGTCCAGGAACGTGGATGGACATAATCCAGAAATGTGGGCTACAATGGGGAATAAAAGAATGGATTGATAGTTTATTTGTGTACAGTGTGTGTATGAGATGTGGGGGTAGGTAAGAAATATTAATGCTATATATCGTACATCTCTAAAATGCCTCCCACCATTTTAGTAACCTGTAAATTACAAGCAGCTTACTAATTCAAAAGATATTCAGTACTTTTATCTATAGCAAGGTTTATTCAATTTAGAAGCTTCACAAGAAGTTTTTGAAGTCCAGTAAACATAACACAATTGCATGGACTTCTGAACAAATTCCAAATAGGCACTATCTTTGTATCTTGCCTTTTTATTTTAGTACACCCCTACTTTTAGTGGCCTAAATCTAAATGATGGTAGGTTAAGGATGATAAAATATATACACAAATGGCTAAAATATAAGGTTTAAAATCAGTGAACTGTCTAGAAAAGGAGCAGATGAAGTACTATGAAAGTTCACGAATAGGAAAGAGAGGGGAGCAAGAATTTGAAAAAGCTTCATGAAAGATATAACATCCAAATTGGATTTTGAGGGCTGGCTGGTTAGCTCAGTCAGAGCACAGCCTTGTAGCCCTTGTCAGGTCAAGGGTTCAGATCCCTATATCAGCCAGCTGCCAAAAAAAAAAAAATTGGATTTTGATAGGAGAATAAAATCCAAAATGTGGAATCTGAGTATAAAGAGCAACGTGACAAGGGACAGAGTCCAGAGTCAAGAGCAATTAGTTCAGATGTGTAAAGGGGATTAACAGGAAACAAAGAGGGAAAGTTGAGACAGCATTTAAAAAAAAAACAAAAAAACCCCAGGGTACATAGAGGAGATGCTTTAAGAAAGAAACTAATTAATCTGATTGTGAACATCTTCAGTTATAGATGCTTGTGAGAAATATTTGTGAGAAATACCCAGGCAGATATATCAAGAAAGCACTCCCTCCCCCCAAATTGGGAGTCATTCATATACAGCTAAAAACTAAAGCCCTAAGAATAAATGAAACCTGAACATAATTACCAAAAACAAACAAAAAAAGTGAATCAAGAGAAACGGAATTTGAGATATAAGAAGTGATATCTGACATTTTTACAAGAGTTTATTATTTAGGGAAGAAAAAGGTAAAGACATATGTTTAGATGGTGGTGGTAGAGACATACATATATGCAACTGGGAAAACCCCAGGAAATACCTACATTTTCAGGAGAAGGGAAGAAAATTAGAAGGGGCTAAAGAAAAGGCAGTAGAAGGGGAAGAGGGAGA